CACGGAGGGAAAGACAAAGTGGAAGAAACAGAGTCGTTGCTGTCTGCGACTCTAAACTAAAATACCCTCCGAGCCAGGGCGCACTCACCACCGTAACCCTTGCGGGAGCCACCCTTCCCAAACGTCTCACTGGCGTCGCAACAAGCGGCTACCACCATGAGAGACGAAGGGTCGAAGTGACCCCACGCGAAGGGCCAGGCCCGAGTCCCCTCCGACACAAGGTCTTCCCCCACCTAGGCCCCATAGGCCACCCCAACTTCCCCATCCTCCCCCTCCCTCCTTCCATCACCCGAGTCGGAGCGACCACGGGAGTGGCAGCGGTGGGCAGTTTGCCCACAGCAGCCACCAACTCCCCCAAGAGAGCAGGAACGCTCTCCTGTTCCGTCCGGAGACGGCGCAGCGACGACCGAATTTGCTGCCCAGAGTCAGCATCGGAACCACACCGAGTCACGAGGGGAAGGGGGTCTACTCACGGCCAGCCCCAACTCGAGGGCAGCCCGAGTGGCACGTGCCTCCTCGTAGAGGTCACGCTCCGCCTCGGAGCGGAACTTTGGCATGCTCTGGGCGGCCAGGAGGGCCACCCGATTGGCCTCGGTGGCGGTGGCGACGACGTCAGCAGGGACGAGGTGGGTGGCCTCTTCGGGCCAGGAGGGCCGCAAACTCTTCCCCGAGGAACCAGGGCAGCTTCCACCAAAGTCAGCAACGGCCAACCAAACCAAACACCGAACCCCAGAAGAAAACCTACCGGGACGCAAGGCGAGTGCTGCGCGGTGCAGTACCCACACTTCGAACTGGTCGAGGACCAGACGCAGTCATGGGACTGGATCCCACAGGCTTTGGCCTGAAGGCAGCGCAAACAGAGCACACGGAAGGCAACTGTAAGGGCCCCAGAGGGGGTCGGAACCGGCATCTTCGATTCTTTCTTTTTGAATTGAATCTGCGATTCCGTTAGCCAAGCCCAAGTTATCACCAGCGCGCCAACGCGCTCCCATCACCTACTCGTTCTTTGGATTGGAGGATACTATACAATCTATCAGTATCATAAACAAACGGACGGGGAGGGGCCACTTACTGGTCTCGGGCGGGAGGGTTGCTGGCGTTGTTGTTGTAAGGTAAAAACAAGAGGAAGTGGGCGAAGCGAAATACTCAAATGTTGGCTTACAACAATGAACACCGAATCGGGTTAGCGCGGCCACTTCTTCTTTCACGTTTTACGAAAATTCTACTCAAACGGGTAACGGACACCTTCCGGTACTGTTTCGGACCCCAAGAACGAACGTGAGATCCAACAAAAGCGAACTCCAGTTTCGCATGCCACACGGACCCTAACGCGATACCACCTCGGGATGACTATGGTGGCAAACAAAGCACCTTCCCGATGCGCACGACAAACGAAGTTGTTCCGGACGCAATTATCAGCCAACATTATGATAACAAGAAACGCTCCGTTCACGGAGACGATACGGAGACGATTCGGAGACGTTGCAGACAGGATACTAGCCGCGTGCCTTGCGGACAAAGCACTCTCTCAGGAGGGGGGTAGTGTAAGGATGCCTTCTCGTCTCTCATTCTAGGGAGTAGACTCCGGGTAGCCGCGGGGTCACGTGTGATCATTTGGGTGGCCTAACCAAGTCGGAACCGAGTCGGATGGGTTTGGGATACTTGAGAATATCGACTGACGGGGGTTCCCCATCATCTTTTTTGTATCCTTCGTAGTAGACCTATAGGATAGCATCCGTTTAGCCTCTGACTCGCACTCTCATATGCTATTACTGTGAGCTGGGTGCCCTGGTCATTACAAGGACCTAGTGTTACGGCTACAGTAATATGATGTCATGGTTACAGGGCCAGGGCCTAGTAACGTGACGTGTGAGTCACAAGGGGCAAGCGGGGTAGGCTGCCATGTGACGGGGCTAATGGATAGTTGCAGAAACTAGTGGATATTGGATAGTTGAGCTATCCACGAACTATCCTGAATATCTAGCTATCTGCCAACTATCCAGATTACCCATGAGGCATGACGCCACTATATAAGTAGATAGTATTTCCTTAGATAGGAGCTTCGTGCTCAACTCAATATAGTAGTCTTTACAATACTGTAACGTGTTACTTGGAAAGCCTTTGTGTCTAATCCCCTGCCTCCTCTGTCAAGTCAACCTTACGCAAGAAACCTCTGTGTCTTCTATCGTTTAGAAGTCAGCGTTACAAATGGTTCTATCTACACATATACACTCTACTATAGAAACCAATTCCTAACGCCTAGGATGCGCTTAATGCTTTATACGAAGTGTAGAATCTAGTATAATCCAAGTAGATTCATTGTCCTAATTGAAAATCTAGATTCATCTATGTTATATGTATTTTCTTACGTGATCCCGAACTCTTAAACCGCCCATGTGTATGCATTAAACCATGTGTTAAGCACTGGTTTTGTCGCGCCATCCATGCGTACAGTTTCAATCCGTCGCCTAATGGCGACTTAAAGGTAAGAATGTCACTGTATGAATCGTGGTACCTAGTCGCGACGAAGGGTAAATCGAAGTTAGGGTAGAAGTGAGTTCGGTGTCGCGTCGTCAAAATTAAGTGACCGATATGAGCGGAGTTCTTCAGCTATTTCTTTCAACAACCGATGCCCTAGAGAGTAACCGCTAATGGTAAGGCCCTTAATCCACTTCAGAAGTACCTGCTCTTGCGCACCTAAGAGATTCTGCTGTTGCTGGCGGGCTTGGGAGCGTGTCAAACCTCCATTGACGCGACGTGTCACAGAACTCTTTGGCAGCCCTAACACTTGCTCAGCGTGATATGCACTCCTATACTTCCCAGATTGGATATCTATTACAGCTTTTGCTATTAAAGTTTCGCGCTCAGCAGCAGGAAGGCTTTTATGGCGAACCATCGTTGAGTTATTTGCAATTATCGAAGGTGAGCGAGGTAAATCCCCCGAGTTACGCCACGACTCACGTTACCCACTATGCTGCTTAGTCATATATTTTTAGCCCTTTCCGAATCAAGCACTAGCCCAGAAAATTAGCTCCGAAATTTGGCTCGCTTATTCCCACAACTAGCGCAAAATGCGAGCACACACACGAATTTCGCAAAATTGATTCCCTTCTTGTTTGATCCCGATCGCGACCTCATCAACAACCACCGGCCTCTCGACAAATTCTTTAGCCGGCCATGAAGCTTAATATCTCATACGTATGCGAAAATGCTATTTTGACCAAATGGACGATATACTGACGTTACGATAGCCTGCCAATGGCAGCCAGAAGATGGTCGAGATCGACGACGAGCGCAGACTCCGTGTCTTCATGGAGAAGTACGATATTTCGAATCTCATTGGAATGAACGAATCTAACATATCGCAGGCGTATGGGCGCTGAGGTTCCCGGAGACTCCGTCGGAGATGAGTTCAAGGGCTACATCTTCAAGATCACCGGAGGCAACGACAAGCAGGGTTTCCCCATGAAGCAGGGTGTCATGCACCCAACCCGTGTCCGCCTTCTCCTCGCCGAGGGACACTCTTGCTACCGCCCCCGCCGCACCGGTGAGCGTAAGCGCAAGTCCGTCCGCGGTTGCATCGTCGCCATGGACCTTTCCGTCCTTGCTCTCTCCATCGTCAAGCAGGGCGAGGCCGACATCCCAGGCGTCACCGACACCGTCCACCCCAAGCGTCTTGGCCCCAAGCGCGCCACCAAGATCCGCAAGTTCTTCGGTCTCACCAAGGATGATGATGTACGTTTGTCCATCTTCATCGCCTGTCCGTGCAAACGGTACAGAGTGTGAGCAGAACATAGGCTAACGGAATTTTCAACTATAGGTCCGCAAGTTCGTCATTCGCCGCGAGGTCCAGCCTAAGGGCGAGGGCAAGAAGGCATACACCAAGGCACCAAAGATCCAGCGCCTGGTTACCCCACAACGCCTCCAGCACAAGCGCCACCGCATTGCGCTCAAGCGCCGCAACTCCGAGAGGACCAAGGATGCTGCTGTGAGTATTCCAATATCAATACACCGCAAGAGCGTTATACTAATGATCTACTAGTCCGAGTACGCCGCCATCCTCGCCAAGCGTGTCCACGACGTCAAGGCCGAGAAGGCTGATCTCCGCAAGCGCCGCGCTTCTTCCATGCGCACCAAGGCTTAGATTGTTTGTGGCTGGGAGAAGGGCAGGAATGGGCAGGAATGAGCTATTCGAAAGAAAGTCCCATATATGAGTCGCCTTGGCCCACTCTGTACTGAGGATACTGGCATGTAGGGTCTAGATATTCATGGCATACATTTCAGCAAAGGCGTCTTATTTGATGATATCAGTCCGGCTTCTTGGCGTGAGAGAACAAAAATGAGCATTGGCATGTTAAATATTAAATTATGATCCCTTTGTTTACCCATGTGGGCATTCAAAATCCCATGATTCATTCAAGTGCTGTGGCTAATCGTATTTCCCAGCGAGCCCGGCTTTGTTTATGTTCTTCTGTAGCGCCGGGTGCATATCAATCGCAGGTTCTACACCATAGGCCTTTGTTATGAGTGCTGGATCCAACCGACATAATATCTCTCTGGTGCCCGGCCCCACATCCATCCAAAACTACTCCACTGACTGTTTTCAGCATGTCGAACGTGTTGCCTTCAAGCTGCTGCGACAGCCCCGCTCCTAATTTACCCCAGACCCTCGCAAACTGGATTTAATAGGCATATGACGGGTTAACTAGTGGAATTGTACATACAGCACGGTGTCTAAAGGCTTGCAAGTCTTGGAATGCAAGCAAGGGCCATTGCAGAAAGGAGGTTACCAGATTATCTACGCAGAGTTAAAAACATGGAGCTAAATCCCAAATATACTCCGTAGAACTTACAGTAATAGCAGTAGCAAATAAGTCGACCAGGATTCCATATTCAATCGCGTACTGTCTCGGAGCTTATCGTCTCGGCGGATCGAATTCCGCGCTAATTTTTGTCTTGACAACTTTTGTCCCGCAAGTTCAGCTTCAAACTTCTGGAACATTTTACCCCACACCATAGCCTGTAATCCGGGCTTCTCATCCACGCCACATCACAGAGTTGCATATCTTCTCACTCGATATATTTTATTGAAGAATTGAGCTCTTGGATAAACCCTGCTGCCATACCCTATATCCCGGGCAGCTTCCCGACACCCCACGTCACGGATCTCCCCGAAACTCGGACGAATTCTCCTCGACGCACCGATACAAAATGGCGACGAATTCTATTAAGCTGTTGACTGGCAACAGCCATCCTCAGCTTGCCCGCTTGGTTGCCGACCGGTAAGGCACACCAGCGCCCAAACCCGGTGAGCGTGGATGGGCACGTTGCTGACTGCGCATAGCCTCGGTATTGAGCTTGCGAAGACTATGAGCCTGAACTACTCGAATCAAGAGACATCAGTCACAGTCGGAGAGTCTGTTCGCGACGAAGATGGTATGACTCTGTCTTATTCCTACGGCTTTGTTCCTCTAGTTGGCAGTACTCTAACACCTCAGAGTTTTCATCCTCCAATCCACCGCCCCGGGAGATATTAATGACGGCCTCATGGAACTCCTCATAATGATCAACGCATGTAAAACCGCCTCTGCGCGCCGCATTACCGCCGTCATCCCCAACTTCCCGTATGCGCGCCAAGACAAGAAGGACAAGTCCCGTGCACCGATCTCCGCGAAGCTCATCGCCAACATGCTCCAGACCGCTGGCTGCAACCACGTCATCACGATGGACTTGCACGCCTCCCAGATCCAGGGCTTCTTCAACGTCCCTGTCGACAACCTATATGCTGAGCCCAGCACCCTGAGGTGGATCAGGGAGAACCTGGATGTCAAGAACTGTGTTGTCGTCAGTCCCGATGCGGGTGGTGCAAAGAGGGCAACGAGCATTGCCGACAGGTTGGATCTTGGATTCGCTCTTATCCACAAGGAGCGTGCAAGGCCCAATGAGGTGTCGCGCATGGTCCTGGTTGGTGACGTTTCTGACAAGACCGCCATTTTGGTGGACGATATGGCCGATACTTGTGGCACCTTGGCCAAGGCAGCCGAGACAGTTATGGCCCACGGCGCAAAGGAGGTTGTTGCTATCGTCACCCACGGTATCCTGTCCGGAAAGGCCATCGAGATCATCAACAAGTCCAAGCTGAGCAGGGTTGTGACTACCAACACTGTCCCCATGCAAGGCAAGGAGGAGTCGTGCGCGAAGCTGCAGACAATCGACATCAGCCCTACGTTGGCTGAGGCCATCCGCAGGACTCACAACGGAGAGAGTGTTTCTTTCCTGTTCACGCACGCACCCACGGATTAAATATGAAATTTTGGTATGGAAAGCCAGCGTTCTAGTTTGAGGTAGATTTTGGAGGAGCCTACTTTTTAAAGTAATAGATCAGAGGACAAGTTTTTGGGGGTGTTTTGATAAATTTCAGGCGCTTTGTTGGTGTAAGGTTGCAGGGGATATTTCAAAGCTCTGGTAGGCATATGTACAGTGGAAACGTGCCATTTTGGATTTTCAAAAGTGAAGGGGAGTTTTGCCTCGCATCTTTGTGCCATTCCGAGCGTTATGTTGAAATGCATGTGATTTCTATTTCGCTGGAGAAAACTGATATATATACAGCATCTATACAGCACTTTCAGGCATGTTCATACAAATACGCTCCGACAATGCCTTCCCCATTATCATTCAGCTCGTCGTATTCCCACACGTAACGACATGCATGCGATTAAAAGTCCGTCACCCGCCCATTATAACTCCAATCCGCCTCCCCTCCCCATTTCAGCGGATCATTCTTCGGCCCTCCTACCTCCCCCGTCTTCGGATTTACCTCCCCCTCAAATTCCGGCTTCGCCCCTCTGCGAACATCAGGGTGAAGCTCCTCTCCCTTGCCAGTAGCCTCTATCCTAGCCGCAAGGGCATCCGATGACTCTCCTGTTGCCGGGCTTTGGTTGACCTGCGGCTTCGACGCCGGGGATTGGTTTATTTGTGGTGTCGCACGCGGTGTCGAGAAGGCACCCGTCGAGGCCTTTTGCAGCCTTTCGAACTCTTCCTGCTCCTTGGGCGGGAGACGTGGCGGGGAGGGCCCAGTCGCGAAGGCGGGACGAACGGAGGATGTCGAGAAGAGGCGGCGGTAGGGCGCCGGGTTGAGGCGGAGGAGATGAGGCATAGCTGTGTGACTAGATTGAAGCTGCCTACTCATCGGTATATTATAAGGCTTGCTAATACCCGTACAAAAGGAATGTTGCTTCTTGAATCGGTAATGCGTGTGTTCGGGGTAATTCGTTATGGATGGTAATCGGGCAAGGCTGAAGCCGGGCCGGGCGTTAGCCTATTGAATATTCTGCCGGGGCGGTGAAACGTATTTTGTGGTCGATAGTGGTGGGATGGAGGGAGGGGGACTTCGGATATTTCGTACATGGGCTGGTTTGACTCACAACAGAGAGGACACCTGCATATAAACAACCCTTTTCCTCCATACGAGAGTTTCTTACCTCAATCTCGCTCATATACTTCAATTGACTCATAAAAATAATTGGCAGCTAAAATGGAGGGCCTTAAACAGACCTTTGCACAGTGTAAGAAGGAGGGGAGAGTGAGTCTCAACGAGCACAGACTATGAGAGCGGTGAATTGATGCTGACATGATATATAGGCGGCATTAGTTACATATTTCACCGCTGGGTATCCTACTGTAGAGGAATGTGTTGACATTATGCTTGGGCTGCAAGCCGGTGGATCAGGTATGTTATGACTTCATTGTAAATTGAGCGACCAATGCTAATATTCCCACTCAGACATTATTGAACTCGGAATTCCCTTCACAGACCCCATTGCTGATGGACCAACTATCCAAAAGTCGAATACCGTTCGTACAGACCTACTGGACTGCTGTTACGCCGCTGACTGAGCTTCAGATCGCTTTAAAAAACAAGGTTACGGTCAGCTTGGTGCTCCAACTGGTCCGCGATGCGAGAAAGAAGGGACTGACAGTCCCCGTCCTGTTCATGGGATACTATAACCCGATCCTGAGCTACGGAGAGGAGAGACTATTGAAGGACTGTAAGGAGGCTGGCATCAACGGTTTCATTATTGTTGACCTGCCACCTGAGGAGGCCGTCACATTCAGAAACTTTTGCACCAAAGCAGAGTCAGTGTCTGTCCAAGCGGATGTTATAACAGCTACTAACAGCATCATAGACTCTCATACGTTCCCCTAATTGCCCCATCCACAACAGATGAGCGCATGAAGCTCCTATGCGGACTCGCTACTTCGTTCGTTTATGTCGTCTCGAGAATGGGCGTCACTGGAGCTACAGGCACCTTGAGCACAGGTATCCCCAAGCTCTTAGCACGAGTCAAGGAGTACTCTGGTGGCAAGCCGGCAGCCGTTGGATTCGGTGTCAGCACAAGAGACCACTTCGTCACCGTTGCCAAGATCGCCAATGGTGTCGTGATTGGAAGCCAGATCATCAACGAACTTGGTAACGCACCAGCAGGACAGGGAGCCAAGGCGGTCGAGAACTACTGTGCCACCGTTTCCGGAAGGAGAGCAGCTCCGGTTGACAGCCAGACCCGTGAAATCGGAATCGTCGAGGCTGTACACAGCGCCCAAGAGCCTTCGGGAGATCAGGTTCAAGTCGACGCCGTCGTCCCTCCCCGCCCCGAAGGCGAAGTCGGTCTAGCCGACCAAATCGTCGCGCTGAACGCCGACGGTGCCGCAAACCCAAACCACATCCCCTCTCGCTTCGGCGAATTTGGCGGCCAATACGTCCCCGAGTCGCTGATGGACTGCCTCTCCGAGCTCGAGCAGTGTTGGGCTGAGGCCAAGAACGACCCCAAGTTCTGGGAGGAGTACCGCTCATACTACCCCTGGATCGGCCGCCCAGGCCACCTGCACCTCGCTGAGCGCCTGACCGAGCACGTCGGCGGTGCTAACATCTGGCTCAAGCGCGAGGACCTCAATCACACCGGTAGCCACAAGATCAATAACGCCCTTGGACAGATCCTGATTGCGCGCCGCCTTGGCAAGACCGAGATCATTGCCGAGACTGGCGCGGGCCAGCACGGTGTCGCTACCGCGACTGTTTGCGCGAAGTTCAACATGAAATGCACCATCTACATGGGCGCTGAGGACGTGCGTCGCCAGGCCCTGAACGTCTTCCGCATCAAGCTCCTCGGTGCGCGCGTCGTGGCCGTCGAGGCAGGCTCGCGCACCCTCCGCGATGCCGTCAACGAGGCTATGCGCTCCTGGGTCGTGAACCTGGACACTACGCACTACATCCTGGGATCGGCGATCGGACCCCACCCCTTCCCCACGATGGTGCGAACCTTCCAATCCGTGATCGGTGACGAGACAAAGACCCAGCTGCAGGCGGCGCGCGGCAAGCTGCCCGACGCCGTCGTGGCGTGCGTCGGTGGCGGTTCGAACGCCACAGGCATGTTCTTCCCCTTCTCCGCGGACCCGAGCGTGGAGCTCGTCGGCGTCGAGGCCGCGGGTGACGGAATCGATACCCCGCGCCACTCTGCAACGCTAAGCGGAGGATCCAAGGGCATTCTCCACGGTGTCCGCACCTACGTTCTTCAAGACGAGCATGGACAGATCCAAGACACGCATTCCGTGTCCGCCGGTCTTGATTACCCCGGCGTCGGCCCCGAGCTGAGCGCGTGGAAGGACAGCGATCGCGCGACGTTTTTGGCGGCGACGGATGCGCAGGCGTTTGAGGGGTTCAGGGCGTTGTCGCAGTTTGAGGGGATTATTCCGGCGCTGGAGACGGCGCATGCGGTTTGGGGGGCGGTGGAGGTGGCAAAGAGGTTGGGGAAGGGGAAGGATGTGGTGCTTTGTGTTAGTGGACGGGGGGATAAGGATGTGCAGAGTGTGGCGGATGAGTTGCCTGTTCTTGGGCCGAAGATTGGATGGGATTTGAGGTTTTAAGGGAAGAAGATAAAATGAAGAGGTGATTTGAGCTCAAAGTAGATAAATTTGAGGCTTTGAGGGGGCGAACATGAGATGATGATGGATGGTTGATCTAGAGAGAGAAAAAAATCGTATCACGCTGAATAAAAGCAATTGGACTTAAAAATATATCATCTCGTTATTCATTAAAATACACATCCGATCCACCACTCCCCGCGCAGTAAATCTAATTCTCTACAACAAGCTATCATCCCCTCTATCCCCATGTCCCTTCGCCTTAAACATCTCCGACCCCTCCTCCGGCCCCACAGTAGCCAAATACTTCTTGAAGTTATCGCTCATCTCCACCACCTTCTCGAAATGGTCCTGGCGCAGCTCAATCTCTAACGGTGTCGTCTTATTATCCACCTTGTGCTTCTGGTCAGCTTCGTACTCTGCGAGCGCAACAGCAGTCTGGAACGCGTTCCTGATCTCGCGACCGTTCCACTCGGTGTCGCGAAGCACGTCGTCGCTGAGGATGTACTTCTTCGCCGCAGCCCGGACAGACACGTCGTCGCCGCGCTCGCGCTCTAGCTTCGCGAAGAACTGGAGCCAGATGCGCTTGCGTCCTACGGCGTCAAGGGGTGGGTACCCGATGTAGACGTGGATACGGCTGAAGAAGGCTGGGTCGAAGTGTCCAACGCGGTTGGTGGTCATGAATAGGATACCGCGGTAGTACTCCATAGCGCGGAGGAATACCGAAACAAGACCATTGCGGGTGAGTTCGTTGACCTCACGACGCTCAAGGTAGACATCCGCCTCGTCGATGAGCATGACCGCGCCCCAGATCTCAGCGAGCTTGAACCATTTCGAGAGGTTCTCCTCGACACGGAACTCGTCGGTTCCGATGTCGCCACAGGTGAGGGAGAGGAGGGGGCGGGATGTGAATTCCGCGACGCACTCGGCAGTGAAGGTCTTTCCGGCGCCGGGAGGGCCGTGGAGGAGGAAGATCTGGCCTTCGCCTTTGTTGGGGATGGGGTCGGCGGCCCAGGTGGTCTCGTTCTTGGACGGGTTTGTTTTCTTGGAGGTGGTGTATTTGTGGACGAGGGCTTTGATCATGCCGAGCTTCTCGTTGGGGAGGACGAGGTTCTCGATGGCTTCGGTCTTGATCTTGGGCTCGCGGCAGAAGTCGACGTCGAGGGCTTGCCACTTCTTGGACTTGAGGTCGAATCCCATGATGCGGCGGGGGCAGAGGAAGTAGCGGTGGCGGGAGACGACGCCATCCTTGACGGTCTCGAGGGATGGCGTCTCTTGGGGGTCGATGTTCTCGTAAGTTCCCCACTTCGTGCTCCCGGATGCGGCGCGGCGTTTCTCCATGCACTCGCTGCAGTTACAGTCGTAGTGCATGTCAGCCAGGATACCCGAGTTGTCGTCGTCGACGCACAGACTTGGAGCCGGGTGAATGTCAGTCTCCTCCCAACCTGCGTATGTGTAGAACGATCCCTGGTCGACGACGACGCGGCCCTCGTGGAAACGCTTTGGCCGCTGCTTAGCTGCCATACTGTAACCCTTGTAATCCATCTGTCGGCCCATCAACATCTTGTAGAACTTCTCACCACGGTCCTCCAGTTTCTGGCGAGGAGAAACCTCGAGATCGGAGTCTAGGTACATTGCTGGGATGACCTTGAGAGAAGTGATTTCGCGCTCTCCTTCGAAGGGAACGATGATCACTTCATGCTGTCTGCGGCCTAAGTAGCGCCCATCGAAGTCCATGTACCACATCATGATCTTCAATGGACTGAGCTGCCCCATTTTCGTGGCTTTGTTGACGTCCGCAGTTGGGGTACATGACTGCACGACGAAACCGCCACGCTGGTCGTCGATGTTTGCGTAGACGTCCATTCCTGGCTTGAACAACATCCAAAGCATCTCAAATGTCGCAACAGGAGTTGGGCGCATGTAGCGCTCATCCTCCTCGAGGATCTTGTCGCCGAGGTTGTCCTCGAGGTACTTCTGCAGGACGCCAATGTGGTGATACGTCTCTGCATCATCGCAAGACTCCCGATACTCATCGATCTCCTTGCGGAAGTGGACAAGAATGCTGAATGGCTCCTTGATGGAGATTGTGTTTCCGAGGAGAGACTGGCCAGGGTAGTAATCAACGATGGAGCGGAGAGCCTTGATGATTGGCTCCGAGTGGACGATGAGTTCCTTCTCCTCCATGGACTTCTCGTCAAAGTCATCCATGTTCTTGGGAGTGTCCTCCTCTCTCTTCTTGTTGTTACGTCCATTCTTGTAGAGTGTTGGGAACCAGACGGTCACACTGTAGAGGACCTCGAGGATGGGAATACCGAGATCGCTATATGCAGTCTTCTTCATCTTGTATGGGGCAGTGAGGTCCTTGGTACCCTTGATCTCGCCACCAAAGTCCTTGTATTGGACCTTGTAGAGGATCTCCGGGCATTGCGGGAGCTCCTCCTTGGTCTCATTGTCGCTGGAGGTGGCCGGTGTCGCCGATTCCTGCTCTGGCTTCACGATGACATACTTGGCACCCTCACCTTCGGGCTTCTTGTCACTTGATTCACCCATGGTTGCGGGGGAGTGTTGTTGTGAGAAAGGATGAGAGTAGGTATAAGATGAGGAAGAAGTGGTATTGGGAGTTCAGAGCACAGCTCAAGACGTGGAAAAAGCGGCAAAAGAGTTCACCAAAAGAATGGTGAACGAGTATGAGAAAATAAAGAAAGAAAGAAGGAAGGAAGGTACGAGGGAGTCCAGACTTTATAGAGTTTGGGGGCTTGTCGTTGGAGTTGTGTTGATCTCACCCACAGTCTCTCCCCACAGCTCAGCCGCCTCAAGGCTGGTCCAGCCAGGCAACCGTGGCCATGCATGAAGCTAATGCCTCTTGATCCTCCTGAAATATGACTCTAGCCGCTATCAAGCACGGGAATGAAGCAATCACAGACGCTATGCGGTGAGAGAATGAGGGAGCGATGCTACTCCCCGTTGGTGTGACTAGGACGGCTTGCATACTCTGCCTTGGTGCTATTAGGTAGAAGCTGCCATCTTCGACGCCGTCAGCACACCGTAGGCCAATGGACGTCGAGAGTGGACGCCCATCCCGTGTGCTATGAAGCTGTGATGTGGCTTGCTTGTGGGCTTGGAGCCTGTTCCACGATTTTTATCTCCCACAACGCATAACTTACCATAATTCTTATCGTAAAATTATGCGGTCACGTGATGGCCGATAAGAGACCGTCACAAATCGCAGACTCTCTCTCTCTCTCTCTCTGTAAACAATGAACATGTCAAATATATGGACAAGAAGGCCAGGTCCTAATAACGATTGTTAATGTTACTCCAGGAACCACTTGATTTGTAACCTCCGCTTTAACCTCCGAAACCATGTTGCGACAGTTCAGGCCCAATCTACAGCCGGCCAGCTTTGTAAGAAGTTATGGTGGAGGGACGAGCCGCGGTCCACAGTCTCGCTTGCCATCTTTATATAAATGCCGACGGGCCCGCATGAGGGGTGACAACTCCCGCCACCAAGCATCTTTATTCACTGCTAGCTACAACCCTATTACTGCTTTATATCCTACAAATACCCAATCGCATATACATAGTCGTAAAAGAAACATATCAAACATGGCGTCAGCTACCTCCGTCTTCGACTTCAAGCCGCTCAACAGTAAGTCGCATCCTTCACATGTCTGCTTTGCGCCAGCGACAACACCAATTTTCCCCCATATCGCATTACCCAGGCGTCCCTATCATCATATTTACCGCGCGCTGCCACTTCCGTCATACAATCGTCGCTAACCCCCAACAGAGAAGGGCGAACCCACACCCCTCTCTGCCTACGCCGGCAAAGTCCTCCTCATCGTCAACACCGCCTCCAAGTGCGGCTTCACCCCCCAATACGGCGGCCTCGAAGCCCTCTACCAGAAGATCGAAGCGTCGCACCCCGGCGAGTTCGTCGTCCTCGGCTTCCCCTGCAACCAATTCGGCGGCCAGGAGCCCGCAGCCGACGACAAGATCCAGGAGTTCTGCCAGATCAACTACGGCGTTACATTCCCTATCTTCGGAAAGACTGAGGTCAATGGCGATAATGCCAATCCGCTGTGGGAGTACATGAAGAGCGAGAAGCCGGGGTTGATGGGCATGAAGCGCGTGAAGTGGAACTTTGAGAAGTTCCTGATTAGCAGGGAGGGGAAGGTTGTCGAGAGGTGGGCAAGCACGAAGAAGCCCGAGACTTTGGAGGGTGATGTTCTCAAGGAGATTGCGAAGAAGGCGGCTGAGCCAGTGAAGTCGGAGCTGTAAGCTGTGAGGATGGAACTTGAGGAGGGTGGAGAAGGGCTGGCGGCAGCCTACGAAATGGTCAATTGAGTTGGTGCTGTGGATGGCTAGAACGGCCGAGCGGTGCAGTCTCGTTATGCACCCTGTGGCAGACTGAACTGTACTGTACAAGTACGAAATGCAGCTCCAAACCGTATTTTCTACTATCACCATCGCCATCGCAATCTACGTCTGTGAGTACTTCATTTGCGAGCTCGTTTAGGGAGTGGAAGGGGATTATGTGGTAGCGAAGATACCATGGCCGGCGATTCTATTATTCGGCCTCTTTAGCTGGACGGACACGAGCATTTATAGTAGGTATCTTGTCGCAACGACACCGAAGAACAGCTGGATTTCTAAAGTTCCCGAATTACATACTATAGATATGGTCATATATGCCTTCATAGAGTTTATAGTCTTATAACTTTAATTAATTGTTGATACTCAATCCTCCGGAAACGCCATCTTACTCGGCGAACCCGGCGTTGACCATCCCATCTTCCTGGCAGAGGTGGATTGTGTATTTACCGCCCCAGCAGTACCCCGCGCACCCTAACCCGAGGTGTGCGGTGGCTGCGTCGGCGCGCACAGAGCGGTGGAAATCGTAGATCCGGGGGCGCACGACGGCGTCGCGGTTGCGTGCTATGAAGGGGATGGCGGCGCAGGCGAATTGGACGGCCCAGATGGGTTTGTAGAAGATGGTGGTGGCGAGGGACCGAGGAGGGAGTCCATTAGTTCCATGTGCTGGGGGGTGGTGCGGTGCCTATATATGTTTAGTACAGGGTGTTAAAAATGGGGGGTTGGTGGCGGAAAAGGCAAAACCATTCATGAAATCTGGGAGGTAGACGAGGAAATCGCCTCTTGGGAGAGGCTGTCGGCGAGGAGACGGCTGTTGTTTGTTTCCCACGCGAAGATATCAGGAATCATGACAATGAGCCCTTTGGGGGCATTTGGGGGCATTTGGGGGCGTAGCGACGTAGGTGTTTAGCCGGTGGATTGTTGACACAGTGCCGGTAGGTTTTTCAGTCTTCATGTAGCCTGTAAGGCAGTTTTTACAGGATGGTGCCGCCATTGTTGGGAATCATCGGTGAGGAGAAAAACATGGCGATTAGCTGTGTCTGTGGATTGTGTTTGGTGCAAATAATGACATTTGATATAATTAGCTATTGTTTGGGATATTTGAGCTCTTTGGAAAGGTAGTGCTGGTATAGACGTCTTTTTTGTCGCGTTAGCACTCATTATCGAGATTGGATACTGCAGCGGCGGTGAAGAGATGGCAATGGTTTGCTCAAAAGGTCTGCAGGCCGCTGGCGGTGGCGATTGGGGATGTGGATATGGTGATTGGGAGGATGTGAGGAAGATTGAGGGGTTGCTGGGCGGAGAGGAGTGAGGTTAGGGTGTATGAGGGCGCAAAACATGGGTTTGAGGTGAGGACGGATCCGAAGGATGAGGGGCAGACGAAGAGTGCGGTGGAGTTGCAGAAGCAGTCGTTGGAGTGGTTTGGGAGGTTTTTGACGGGGAAGGGGGTGCAGAAGTAAGAGGGTGGTGGATGAGAAGTTGCTTGGAAGGCTGGTTTTTATACGCCCATTGTTGAGGAGCTTCGATACCTAGATTACTTAAAGCTATATATCAGTTTCTTGCGTTTTACAAGCTGGTCATTCTAACTATAGAGAATCTACTTTTTAAATTAGAGTCGTAATTATGTGTGACGAAAGTTATGTGAAAAACCATATACCTATGAATTAGTCTCACTTTAGCACTTGAAAAAAATAACTGCTCCCCTCTTAATCATATCACCAGACTATATGTGAAACTATATCTTGACTTATAGAAATATAATAGAGCTTATCTCCGTGTTAGCAGCTAATTCCGTTGTTACTGTTTTCAAAAAATTCGGGACCTTGTAAGCGTTGGGCATATTTCGGTGCGCATCGGCAGCGCGTCGGCAACAATATGATTGCCTAATGTCCACTACTCTCCTCTCTAACTCCGTAACTAAGAATTCATAAAGTCGCATACAGATAGTGTATCAGGAGAGAAACAGTAGTCATGGGCATAGATTCTCTTATAAGGGCAGCAGCGAAGCGTGGTGTTCCGTGAAGTCTGATATCTTGGGTTGAGGGCTCTGTCGCGATGGCGCATACAAATGAAGATTTGGGAGAATCTGAGAAGGGAGATGTTGAGACAACGGCCCAAGAGACAGATGTCGTGATGGATGGGACGACATATCTTTCACGGTGAGAGGGGGGATATTTTGAACAGCTTTAATTATCTGATATAATAAATATAATCGATGTGCGCTTTGTCGCAATAATCATTAGCTTAATGTCTGTATCATGGGAATGCCCGCGTTGAAGTAATATCCGCCTATTTTATATCTCCGATATCCTCTGCACCCACCAACGGTTGCGGTTTAGAGTCGAAGCTCGGAGTTCGGACCCAGCAGACTGCATTGCAGCTTAGGTTCTAACGCTCTCCGAGAGGAGCTGCATTCCTAGGGCCTTTATCCAGCCGCCAAAACTGATGCTGGCCAGAGCAAGACCAAGTGCACTGGTGAGAACCACCTGATGATCAGCCTCGACACGATACCAGAACCAGATAAAAATAGTTCCCCCACCACTCCCAAACAAATGAACCAAGCCAGAACGATCCCCTCTATCAGCACCATAATTCTCTCCATCCACTCGTCCAACCCCCCACTCCATCTTCCAGCAACCTGCCCCAGACAAAGTCGGCTCGAAAAACAGCAACACCAAATTAAATCCCCCCGCGATCCCTTCAGAGGGCCCAGTCGTCAGTACCCGCCGATACTGATGGGGCCACGCTCATAAAAGCCGGGTTCGCCTGCTCGGCCTTTCCACTCTCCAAATTCATCCTCAAATCATACTCCTCAAACGTCTCATCACGTCCCCCATTCAACCGCATTCCCTCACCCCAGCCACCCCACCTCACGTCACCAGCCGCTCCAGCGCCCATAGCCTCGCCCATCCTAGCCTCTGGCTCCTCATACTCATTAGGGCCCGCTACAGCCTCTGACTTCATCCACAGCTTCAATTCGCCACGGTTGGTCAAGAACCCCGCGTCGGCCCTGATACCGTCTTCATACCTGAACATATCGCGGCCTGCCCGGTCGATCAGGAGGTCTAGCGACACCTGCTGGGCCACGGATCTGCGTTTCTGGATCGGCATGAAAGGATTACGCGCCTGCTCCTCGGCCATCTCGTCCAGCAGACCTTCCAATTTGCCTTCTCCCCCGCACAGCCCTTGCGCGCAAACCTCGCACAGCCTGAGCCCGCACCCAACCTCCCCAACAAATCGGTCCGGGACGCAGCACTCGTAGAACGCCGGTGCGACACAGACAGAGCACCACAGTATATCCTTGGCCGTGTTTGAGCCTATCCCGCGGGACTGGTCACGCCAGATCTTCGAGATGGCGTCGTTGAAGTCGAAATCGCGGGAGTGCTTGAGGCCGGCGACGGCACGGATGCGGTGGGACTTGCAGAAGAGGATTCTTTGGCGCTCGAAGGTGCAGTCGGTGCAGACGAAGGTTGGGTCTTCGTAGATTATTTCTTCGGGTTTTTTGGGGCCTGGGCCTTGTTCGCCTTGTTCGCTTTCTTCCGCGTCTTTTTCTTCTTCGCTTTCGTCCGGTTCTTCGATTTCCTCTCCTTCTTCCTCTGATTCATCGAATACCTCTTCTTCGTTGTCTGCCGCTAATCTTGGGATGCATTCTTTGTAAACGAAGGGATTGGCCGGGGATGGTTCCTTGGGCCCATAGACTTCAATTTCCACGGGCTCTCCGAGACCCAGCATGGGGAATGCGGTGGTGGTGTGAAAGTGACATGGAGTTTGCTGGGCGAAGGAATTCATACCCATAAAGGGGGCTGGGGTTGTGTTGACATTGACATCGAAGGTGATCGGGTGGCAGAACCTGGTCTTGATGGTCTTTTTGAACATCCCCTGTGGCAGTTCCTCCTTCTTCTTCGGCGCCGCGCGAGGGCGCGGCACAGAGCCCACGAAGAGGTTGTTCATACCCCTGGCAGATGCCTTGCTGGCCGCCGCCTTCCCCCCCTTGCCATTTTTAGTCCCGACTTTCCCCGTCTTGATGACCTTATCCTCAAAGCTGCAGTTAACCTTTCTCGAAACGCATCGTTTACAAGGGCCGACATTAGCCTTTGTTTTCAATGAACAGCGATTGAACTCTCCAGCCCGACATGGGTCGCATGATATGTACTTGCGATTCTTGGGGTCGATCTTTGGCGCCGCACTCTGCGCCGCCAGCTGCACGATCTTCTTGCCATTTTTCTTCTTTTGCTCCCTTTGCATTCGTTTTTGGTCCGCCTTATTCTTCCTGGCAATGGCGAAGGCATGTTGTTTTGCGTCCTTTGCCTCTTGGGTCTTCGGTTTTAGAACGACGCAGGGGATGCCTTCCTCGGAACATGTGGTGCAAGGAAATTGATTGGGGTCATCAAGAATACTACATTCAAGTCCGAAATGCCTGCATGCTGAGCATGCCTCATCGATTGTTTCTGACCTGCGTGGTGTGTTAGTTTTTGTTGCACGGGAAATGTAATATACTTACTCCTTTGCCTTCCCTTTCCCCTTCCACTTCTTTCTTCCTGCCGCAGCCGCAGTCTTTTTCTTCGAGCCTTTTCCACGCTTCGGCTCAACAGAGCGTTCCTCTGCAGAAACATCGTCCTCAATTGATAGCAAGATTTCTTCACCTTGGGAGTCGTATTGGGTGATTCCTACGTCGGGCTGTACGGCCGACTTTTTTTTCGCCGGCCTCCTATTGGCAGCAGCTTCTTCATTGGGATCATAGTTGCCACTCTCATCATAATCCATGGCACCAGACCCCTTGAATACCCTTCTCTCCACATTCTTTCTGAAGCCATACGTTCTGGCGTCTTTGAGCCTCTGCAGGACAGGTTTTCCGCTGCCTTGCTTGGCATGTCCTTCACCTAGAGTGGGAAAGCCATGGTGGGCCGGAGGCGTGGGGGAGGAGTTGAAGCTGGAGTTGGGTGACCCTTCTGCGCCATTGTCGCCGGTAGGAACCTTGTCCCAAAAGTCTCTGCGCTCGGCGTTTTCAGCATCGGAATTCGAGACCTGTGTCTCCTTTAGGGTGTTCTTTGGGGCTTCGGAACCGTCCTCAATAAAGTTGAGAAAATTAAAATCGTCCGCCATTGTGACTAATAGTGAGAGTGTAAGTTGGTTGTCATAGTGTCTGCTGGTTCACATGCACGCAATAGCAGGTCTGGCCAATGTGCACGAAAAGAAAAGACTGAGCAGGTAAAATATGGCTTGATAAACTTTATGTGCCAAAGTGAGAATGAGACCGTCCACCCTGGAACAAACAATGTGGGACCTGTGGTTGAAAGTAGGCTTGAGCTTCAACCGTAGGAAGTGAAGATATCATATGTTACCAAAAGAAAATTATGAGAATGATGTGGCCAGTGATAGGAAGATGAGAAAATGCGAGTGAAGCACAAAAATAAATAGGTAGAAAGATGGCAGTGAGAAGAGAAGTGTTCTTGATGTGTACACATCCCATTGAGAGTTATGCTGCAGCAGTAAGGCCCCTCAGAAGCGTAATGCAGCGACGTGTAACGCCAGCGCAATTAGCGGACAGAAATTATGCCCGCTAAAATATATGATAGCGACTGGGATGGCTAATTTGTCGTGACTGAAACTTTGGCGTGGGATGGAAATCCCAACTAGCGAAGCCAAGTTATCAACACATGATAATGAATGTATTTATCACTTACCAGACGTCCGATGAGGGCCACTTTTGAAGTGAAGTCGAATTGTTATTCAGCGCTGGATATTTTTCTGTAAAGAATCGAGTCAGCGTGCAACTGATTGTATCAGCACTGTGCTGAATCTGAACAGAGTAGGTCAATGTGAGAGTTGTTGAAGGGCTGGGGTTGGTATGTATGACGAAGGCAGAGGAGTAGATGTTCGAAGTATTGCAGCAACCACCTGCTCAATAGAAGTAAGAGTAGGTTGGTGGAAGGCAGAGAGAAGTTGCTCTTCGAGATCGGAGCATAAGGCAGAGGAAGTAAATGGCAATGCAGATGGTGCAATATATAGCTTCCGAGTAATGAGGCAAGGAAGTAAGTAGTTGATCAAGAACTGAGAGAGGACATGGGCCCAAGAAATATGGTCTTTTGGTATCATCGAGTTGGAAGGAGAGTACACACGTTTCCAAGAGTTGGTGGTATGCCGAAAAATAAGAAGTGAAGAGTCAAACTGCTTTGCACCACTGGCATTGGCAGTGTAGATGCGCTTCCGCAATCAGGTAAGAGATGTCAAGTAAGGTTGAAAGACACCTGGAAAACCTTTGGCTTTTTTAAGCCTTGAATTCATTCTACCGCAATGCCGAGAGTATATCCCAGCTGGCGATCAACTTATCAACTTCATGTTGTAAGATTCTCCAAAACTTCACTTCCCAATAACGCCTCGCCATGCTAACCCATACCAAAACACCAGCACTCCCACATCTCCACAATGAACGCACCTGTCATCAGAGTCACAGCGTCATTGCCCCTGCCTTCCAGTTCGCCCCAATCCTCTTCATCTCATCCGAAAACCGTCGACTCCCGATCTTCTTTCCCCCATGCCCCGTCAACGGGCTGTGGTCGTCGGGTTCGTAGAAGGGATTCTGGAGGAGGCGGACATATGCCGTCTGGATGGCTCGGAAAACCTATAATAGTACGTTAGCCCCAGCTCATTCATATACCTCCCCAACGAAGCTGAACACCACCACAGACATCCAATGACAGGCAACAAACTCACAATCTTCATCTCTCCCTCCCTCAGCCCCAGTCCACCGACAACACCCTTCCCTCTCCTCACCTCCTCCTCCCTCTCCCCTCCACTCCCCCTCATATCAACACCCACCACAAACCTCACCCCAGTATTCGTCTCCCACCCAAACATCGCCAACCGCTCATCCACATTCTTCAACAGTCCATAGTCGGAGCTCAGACCCTGTCCATTCACCGCATTCGCACGCGCGCGCGCTTCAAAGATATCCAGCGTCGACGAGATCAGGAGCGAGGTCTGCAGCGGGGTGAGGAGGGGCTCTGGGAAGCCGCCTGGGGATTGAGGAGGGCAGGTGGGGAAGATGGATATGTGGAGGGGGTTGTTCTGTTGGGGAGGGAATGTTAGTTAAAGATGGGTAGATGGGGAAGGGGAGAAAGGAGGAGGGGCATTTACGGCTTTCCCTATTATGCCTATGCAGGCTATGCAGGGCGTAGTTGCCATTGCCATTGCTGTTGTGGGTTGTGGTGGTGCGGCACGAGGCTGAGGCTGAGGAATTGGGAGTGTTTGGGGATGTGTCACGTTATCAGGTGGTCACGTTTTTGAGAGCAGCTTCAGGGGCACGGTGCTATACTCGTGCGGTCTAAAGGTCCACAGTAGGACCCATTAGTAGTCGACAATTAATATCAGAATCAAAGCTTATAGAAATAAATATTTTTTTGCTCTATTTTACGAGTGGCTTATTGATTTTCCTCCAGCTTTCTGGGGGAACAACAATATTCCCAAGCCGAGGACATCCGCATCCTCGGATGCCCATCCGCTCCACCGCCTTGACTGCCCTAACATGTCGGAAACGTGGGGGTTTCGGTGCTATCCATCCCGACCTCGTCAGGCGACGTCCAGCCATGCAAACGCGATGGTCTCATTAGAACACCACCTCATTTCCAAACTGTGATCCCTCGCCATGAGGACCCTGGCTAAGGGCCTAGCTGTTGCTCGGCCAGGATTTGCCAGCGAGGCCATCCTGAGATGTGAGACCTTGAGCGCGATTCCCGGCCGGCAAGGTAGCCGGTCTGGACTACAACACCCTCTATACACCAGTTCACAGCGGCAGGAGCGCTCCATAATGACAAAACGCCGGCCACGCACCGCGCTCTTCTTCCCAGGTACGCCTATCCTATCCCCCCTCTCTCGCGCCTGTCTAACGCGTTTCCCCCAGGCCAAGGCGTCCAAAAAGTCGGCATGCTCAAGCCATGGCTCGATGCCTTCCCCCGCAGCGCCGGCCCAACCATCGAAGAAGTCGACCACCTCCTGGGCTACAAACTATCCACCCTCATCGAAGAAGGCCCCAACAGCGCGCTCACAGCTACCATCCACTCCCAGCCCGCCATCATGGCAACCTCAATCATGATCCTGCGCGTCCTCGAGGCGGAGTTCGGGTTCCACCCCCCCTCGCGCTGCGATGTCACACTGGGGCACTCGCTTGGTGAGTTCGCTGCCCTTGTGGCTGGGGGATACGTTACGTTTCAGGACTCGCTGTATCTGGTGCGGCGTCGCGCGGAAATCATGGTTGAGTGCTCCCGTAAGGCTTCGGAGGAGTTCGGCGGCGAATACGGCATGATCGCCCTTGTCACCGAGCCGGACCACCTGCGCCCTCTCGTGGCTGCCATCCACGACTTTATCGGCCACAATGACGCCGGCGTGAAGACGAATAGCGGGGAGGATGTTCCGCCGATTCAGCAGGTGTCGATTGCGAATATCAATAGCAAGAACCAGATCGTGTTGAGTGGGAATATCAATATGATCCGGACGCTGCTGACGCACGTGCGGAGCTTCGGGGGACATGATCCTAGAGCTGTGCGGCTAAAGAGTGATTCCCCCTTCCATAGCCCGCTGATGAAGCCGGCGAGTGGCATGATGAGGAGGTTGCTGGATGGGAAGAGTAGGGTGGTGGGGCGCGAGGACGAGGATATAGTGATGTGGCCGGGGGTAATGGAGATAGTGTCGAATGTGTCGGCGAGGCCGGTGACGTCGAAGGCGGAGTTGAAGGATAAATGGACGAGGCAGTGTGTGGATACCGTGCGGTGGTGGGATAGTATTAAGTACCTCGACCAGGAGCAGAAGGTGCGCCGCTGGATTGGGGTTGGGCCGGGGAAGGTGGGGAGGAATCTCGTGGGGAAGGAGGTTGGGATGAGGGGGAAGGATACGGTGAAGGGGGGTGGGGTGTGGGGGATTAGTGACCCGAAGGAGATTGAGGAGGTGATGAGGGCGTTGGAGGATACGGAGTCGATGTATTGCGACGATGATTGAGATGGGGATAAGACGTACTTGGAGCTCTCTCGTGGCGATAATTGTAAGATGGCGGCGAGGGTATACAATGAACTGGGCCGCGGTGATCGAGTGACAAGCCTCGGCGGAGCATGTTGGGTAGCTATGGGATGAGAGAAAGGGTTGGTGGAGGTTTGTTTTGGAGATTGTGAGCACTAAATACACACACGGCGCATTGGGATCTCGAATCGAGATATGGGGGATGTATTTGAAGTAGCTAGGTGCTGCGGTAATGGAATATATTGCTATCACTTGTTGACATGGCAAGATCGAATGACGGTCACACCGTCACCTTTTCCAATGTCTATCGCTAGCTGAGGCAATAGTCGAATACAGCCCTGCATTTTCCCAGCCTCATGCATGCACCTCCCTTGTCCCCACCTCCCCCCAAAGGCCATGCAAAGTATCGAAGCATAATGTGTATAACTCGTACACCACAGCACACCATCGCTAAACCCAGCACAACCCTATTATACAGCACCCCCCCCAAAAGCAAACCATCTACTTCTTCTGCCTCTTAGTGCTTTTATCACTAACCTGGCTCAACACGCTCGCACTCCTCTTATGCGCCGCCTGCTGAGCCTGCACCGACCCCGCCCTGGCCACCGACACACTCCTCTCCTTCTCCCCCCCACCCTCCGCCTTAATCTCGCCCTCCGCCTCCACCTCCCCCTCCTTCTCCATCTCACCCTCTCCCTGGCCCCCCTCCTCCTCCTTCTTCTTCCCCTTCTTCTTCTCCCTCTCCGCCTTCTGCGCCTCCGCGAGCTTAATCTCTCCATCTAGCTTATCCGACGCCTTCCGCGTGTCAAGGAGGACATTAATACTACCCAGCAGCGCCTCGAACGCCGTCCCAACCTCAAGCGTTGGCATCACTAGTCGCGGCGGGATCTCCAGTTCAGTGAGGACATTGGTGATTCGGCTCGCCAGCACCGCCGAGCGGTTACTGACCATCTTGGCGATGCGGTCGTAGCGGAACTGTGGTCCGCTCTGGAGGCGGTCGTGCGTTGATACACCGAATACAACCTGGTCCTCCTCGCTCAGCTTGCGTCGCTCCGCCGGGCCCGCACCGCCCTTCTTGGCCGTCGCTGGCGTGGCTGCGGCTGGCTCACGCACGGTGCTATCGCGGCGATCAACGGGTGCCGCGCCCGGGCCAGCCGTAGGAGTTCCCTCGGGGCCAAGGATCGACTTCCGCTTCTTGGATTTATCGGCATTCATGAGCTGCTGAACAAGCTGCTGCAGGCCAGCAGAGGTGGTATAGATGCCGACATTGCTGCTGCTGAGCGGCGCGTCCAGGCGAGCGTACAAGTCCTTGCGCTCCTCATTGAGGCGCTCCGAGCGCGCCATGATGCGCTTGAGTTCGATAAGAAGACTCTCTTCCTCGCGGCGCTCCTCGGAGCTGCGCGACATAGCGTTCTCAGCGAAGCGTTTGCGCAGGGCTTCTTGTACGGGGCTGAAGGACGACATCAGCTGGTGCAGGCTGAATTCGACTTGGCTCATGAACTGGACGGGGCGGTGGACAGACATCATCTTGGCGGCAACGTCGTAGTAGCGCGCTTTGAGATCTTCGAGGGTGCGGGGTTTGAGTTCGGGGATGAGGGCGGTGCTACTCTCGGCGCCGTCGGTGGAGGGGGGAGGAACGGGCTGGTATTCGTAGCGGTCCCAGACGAGGGGCCATCTGAGGTCGAAGTCCCGCGCTGTTTGCATTAGGTAGTCTGTTTCTTCTTTGGTCCAGTCTTCGTTCTTGAGTTTGGCTTCGTACTGCTCGTCGTCGTACTTGGGGATGTTGACCTGGACATTGAACTTTGCGAATGCCGAGTCGTCGACCTCCTCCTTCACCCCACCCTCCACTGCCTCTCCACCCTCTCCACCCTCTCCCTCCTGCGCCTCCTGTTTCGGCGGCACCTCAATCTTCCTCCTCCAGTGCTTCAAGGTCATATCATCCTCCCTCGCACTATTCTTAAACGGCTTCAACTCCCACTTCGCAGCCGGCTTCCTGCTCACCAGCCTCCTCTTCTTGAACTGTGGAACCGCTGGCACAATCGAGATCGGGTTGTCCCCCCCCAGGCTCTGAACCTCGCGCTGGAGGCCCTTCAGATTGGGTCTCGCGTTTGTCAGTTTTTGTTTCTTTGCTGGGCGCGGGCCTGCACTATTGGGCAGGTCCAGCATGTCGCGCACATCGAGGGACGTCATCATGAATCGTTGAATGCGCAGCTGCGCGTTGTGTTGATCGCGTACACTGTATATCTCAATTCCCCACTCCCTCTGACGGTGTTAAACTGGTTGCCACAATAAAATGTAGCTCGTTGTGTCGTGAATGAATGTGGTTGAGCCGATGTTCCTTTTTGGTGTGTCAAAAGATTAAAGGAAGTCGTCAAGCAACCGCGACCGATTACTGGGATACCCACACCCCAACTCACGTGACACAATCACCTTTGGCTCCACACCCCTGACCGCGGATTGGAATCTGGAACCGTGGCCGCTGTCAAAATAGCACAACCCCCACGACTCGTCCTCACATCGACCATCACACGCGCCTCCCTTGATCCTTCCCCAGAGCGCCTCTCTCCCACAGCAAGCAAGCAAGCAGCTTAGCCATGCGCTCCTTCCTGCCCGCGCTCTCGCTGGCGGCCGCGACGCTGCTCGTCCCGGTGCAGTCACTGTACTTCTACATTGAGGGCACGAACCCGAAGTGTTTCTTTGAGCGGCTGCCGAAGGATACGTTGGTCGTTGGGCAGTATAAGGCGGAGGAGTTTAGTCTGGATCAGAATAAATATGTCAATAATGATAATCTGAATATCTTCATCTCGGTCGAGGTATGGCATCCCATTGCTCCCCCAAGCTCCCCAATTCATCCCCCCCTCCTTCTCCTACTTCTCTACCTCCGCTCCCAATCCGGTCCAACTTGAGAGGAAATACCAAATCTAACACCCCCCAAGGAAGTCTTCGACAACGACCACCGCATCGTCTCTAGCCGCGGACAATCGAGCGGCAAGATCACCTTCACCTCCGCCAACTCCGGCGACCACCGCATCTGCTTCACCCCCTCGCACTCCACCGGCCACTCCGGCTGGCTCGGCAGCCAATCGCTCGGCGGCGTCAAGCTGATGCTGGATCTGGCGATCGGGACGACCTCGGAGATCGAGACGGATGACCATGGCAAGATTACGGATTTGGTGCAGAAGGTGAAGGATTTGAATGGGCGGTTGATGGATATTAAGAGGGAGCAGCTGTTTCAGCGTGTATGTCTCTTTTTTTTCCCCTTGTCCCTTTTTTTTTATACACCCCCGTTCCCGGGATGGAAGCAGGGGGTGAGGAGAGTGGGCAGACATGCTAACGCACACATAGGAGCGTGAAGCCGAATTCCGCGATCAATCCGAAGCCACAAACTCCCGCGTCGTGCGCTGGACGCTCATCCAGCTCGCTGTCCTGGGTATCACATGCGCGTGGCAACTCTCTCACCTGCGCTCCTTCTTCATCAAGCAGAAGCTTACCTAGACTCCTTTGCATGTGGGTGTCTGTTTGATGAGAACTACTTTAATGGTGAAGGGCGGGGGATAGAAGGGGAAGATAGCGAGGTGTTGGAGAGGGAAGATGGGGGGAGCTGGGTGAAGTGGTGGTGGTGGTAGAACGAAGCGGAACAGGGGTAATGAGCAACGCATACCGGGTTTCCAAAATGGGGTGTTTACATATGTATCTGGGTTGTCTGTCTATCGGTCGGTCGGTGGCCGTGGTCTGTACTTTGAGCATTTTCTGAGAACAAGAAAGGAAATTCGAAAAAATATAACTAGAAATAAGCCATCTTGTTTTCGTTGATGGGAGAGATGAAGTGGGTGGACATGCACTCCCTTGGTGTCGTGGATGGGTTGGGAAGGAGGGAGTGCTATGTCCTTCACGCAAACACGTTTGGTGCCTGAACTGGCTCAGCGAGGGTTCTCGAGCGGTAGAGTACGGGGTATATGTCAGGTCCAGTAGTGACTCTGCCGTCCATTACATTTATACCCTCCCCTGAACCGAAGAACATCACACACACATCACATCACGCCATCAAACCACATAGTAGTAATCTGGAAATATATCAAGCTTCCCCCTGTCTCTACTCTATCTATTATCCCCACCCCCATTTATCCCCTCAACCCCCACCTCCGTCGACACCTCCCCAGTCCCCCACCCCCTTTCCAATCTCCCCCCCTCCCCCCTCTACCATTCCACGCCCCCTCACATTAAGCTTTCAACGAAAACAACAAAGAAAAATAAAACAGACGAGAAAAACACCCGCTATAACCCCACGACACCTGACACCCGCGCTCTGATATGACGCAAGTTGAAAGAGAGAGAGAAAGAGAGAGAGAGAGAGATGAGATTGTATGTTGGGTGTTCGCAAAGCAACACCCGGCGCGCTTTCCGACAATGAACTTTTGGCTTGAAGGGGGGTGAAGGAAAACAGAGAGATAGAGACAGATATATTAAGCCGTCCTTCCGCATTCCTCCCCCCTCCTCCCGATTATGGCGGGTTGTCAGCCACTCTGTCCTCGCGGGTGCGTCCAAGGACGTCTGGGTGCTGAATGTCGACGACGCTGACTGAACGAGATTGATGGGGCTAGGAAATGCGTAGAGCGTTTGTCTGTGCGAGGCGAATCTGCACTTTTGGAGAAACAAGTGTGAGAGAGATAAAAGGTGTACACGCTCCACCCATGCCCCCAACGCGTCCATATAATGCCGAGATGAAAGTCGCACGCGCGCCGCCGCCCAGACATGCAAAGGAACGCACAACAGAGATATGAAAGTTTGGTTTGTTTGTGTGTGTGTGGTGTCGCCTTGTTTCTTCCCCTGGTCCGGCGGGTTCTGGTCCGGCGAGTTGGGTTTTGGGACCAGATCAAACTGGATCTGCCGCGTAGGACGGGGATGTAATGGGTGGTGAGGACGGCATTATACATTTCATTGCGATTTTTCCGGGTTCTCTAGAGTCATAGGGTCGATCATCCTGCTGTCCGTTAGTCACTGTCACTGCATTTTACGTTCTGGCGCAGCGCCAACGGCCCTAGGAAGTATTGAAACTTACTACAACATATCGTCTTCAAAAACTTCTGAAACCCCTGCGGCTGCGCCTCCTCCTCCACCCGTCCATTCCCCATCTGCTGCGCAATCATATTCGGCTGCTGCAACGTACGCTGCGGTAGGTTATTGCTCGAGTTCTGGAACTGCGCCTGCGTCGACCCCGCCGGCGTCAGCTCGCCCCCGTGCCCCGCGGCGCCGCTCGCGCGCTTCGGCGCCAGCCGTCCGGGCCCGCTTGGCTGGTCGCGGTCGCGCAGCTTCCCCAGCCCGGCCTTGGCGGGCGACGGGGGCGGGGGCTGCGCGGCGTTTAAACGGGCGGCGGTGAGGTGACCCGGGGTCGAGCCCGTCACGCGTGTCGTGCCGTGGAGCTCGCGGTTCGAGGCGCCCTGCGCGACGTTGGCTTGGTGCATTAAATGCTGGGACTGGTGCTGTTTGGTTGCCTCCCAGCCTTTGCCGTTGTTGAGCTTCATCCAGTCGTACTCGCCGTCTTCGATCTCGCCGCTGCCCTTGAGGGCTTGCGTGAAGAGGTCGCGCAGGTAGTCGTAGTCGGGGGTGTCTTCGAAGCCGAGGTTGCGCACGTAGCTGAGGTACTTGTTGAGCTCCTCCGGGAATCCGTTGCAGAGCTCGGGGATGGGCGTTGTCTGCTTCTTTTCACCGATCTTCTCGTACTTTTGCTTGTTAGTGGCGGCCTTTAGGCCTTGCCATGGTAGACCGCCACGGAGGAAGTACATGAACACATGTCCCAGGGCCTCTAAATCGTCACGGCGTGATTGCTCGCGTCCAAGATGCGTGTTGATGGACATGTAACGTGCGGTTCCGGACAGAGATTTCCGCTCACGGTATGGGATGTGCTGCTTCGTCTTCGGGTCGCGGTATTGCTTGGCCATGCCGAAGTCGACGACGTGGATGACATTGGCCGCCTTGGAGCCTGGCCTGCCAATCAGGAAGTTGTCTGGCTTGATGTCTCTGTAGATTAAGTTCTTCTCGTGGATCGTTTGGACTCTCGACAGCTGTGCAAAAGGTTAGGGGTTGACGCGTGGCGGTGTGGTGAAGTACATACCATCTGCTTGGCCACCATTACCACAGTCTTGATCGAGAAGCGTCTGTTGCAGTGGTCGAAGAGGTCCTCGAGGGAGGGACCTAACAGGTCGATAACGAGGATGTTGTGGAGGCCCTCCTGGCCAAAGTAGTAGACATTCGGGATGCCCGCTGTTTCATTGTCAGCCATGACAGAGTGTTGTCGAGCATGAATTGTACTCACGGCATCCAACCAAGATCTTGTATGTCCGGTACTCGTCACGCAGCTGAGGAGCATCGCTCTTGCGTGGTTCCTAAGATTGCAACATGGTCAGCGACATCAATTCGTGCGTGAGGCGGTGAAGCTCTTTAATAGACAGCCTCTGGTGTCCGTCTCTCTCCGTGCCCGCCACTCAATGGAGGTGAAAGGAGGGTGAAACGTACGAATTTGATGGCGACCTGCTGGTTGTTCAACAGGTTGGTGCCTTCGAATATGACACCAAAGGAGCCCTCTCCAATCTTCTTGCCGACGCGATAGTGCACACCGACGACATTGCTGCTGCTTGACGCCATTGAGGGGTTTTTTTCAAGCCGACACTCCGGATGGGAGTCGTTGTCGTTCGGGGGTGGGAGGGGGGTGGAGTGTGTTGTTTGTGTCGCTGTGTTGAGGTGGTGTTCTTTCAGGATGGGGATGTTTGGGGTGGTGGCAGTGGTAGTGGTGGTAGTGGTGGTAGTGGTGGTAGTGGTGGTAGTGGTGGTAGTGGTGGTAGTGGTGGTAGTGGTGGTAGTGGTGGTAGTGGTGGTAGTGGTGGTAGTGGTGGTAGTGGTGGTAGTGGTGGTAGTGGTGGTAGTGGTGGTAGTGGTGGTAGTGGTGGTAGTGGTGGTAGTGGTGGTAGTGGTGGTAGTGGTGGTAGTGGTGGTAGTGGTGGTAGTGGTGGTAGTGGTGGTAGTGGTGGTAGTGGTGGTAGTGGTGGTAGTGGTGGTAGTGGTGGTAGTGGTGGTAGTGGTGTGGTAGTGGTGGTAGTGGTAGTGGTAGTGGTAGTGGTAGTGGTAGTGGTAGTGGTAGTGGTAGTGGTAGTGGTAGTGGTAGTGGTAGTGGTAGTGGTAGTGGTAGTGGTAGTGGTAGTGGTAGTGGTAGTGGTAGTGGTAGTGGTAGTGGTAGTGGTAGTGGTAGTGGTAGTGGTAGTGGTAGTGGTAGTGGTAGTGGTAGTGGTAGTGGTAGTGGTAGTGGTAGTGGTGGTGGTGGTGGTGGTGGTAGTGGTAGTGGTGGTGGTAGTGGTAGTGGTGGTAGTGGTGAATGGGGGAGTCTTGGGGAGACTTGGGGGGTGTTGTCACTCTAGACACTCTAAACCTCACTAACGTCAACTCCAGTTAGCACTCTGGCTAGCAAGTGAACAGTTGAAACGGCCGAAGCGAGAAATAGAATAGGGGGGGTGGAACCTACCAGTAGTGCTGGGCTGTTCCTACCGGAAAAACGACACGACAGTACTCCGTACACTACAGGAACTGGTAAGTTAGATATCCCAACAACAACAACAACAACAACAACAACGACAACAACAACAACAACAACAACAACAACAACAACAACAGGGAGAAACATTTTGTCTCGGAAATTGAACTTTTTTTTGCGAGACCCAAGGCAAAGACATTTTGGTGTAGTTGTAGTTTAATTCCCCCATCAGTCAACCCAGCCCGTTATCCTATTTTTGTCTTGTCCTCTCCACCATCCAGCCTCCTCTCCAACCAGCCTCCTCTCCATCCAGCCTCCTCTTCACTGCATTTTTCTGTGTCCATCTCTCATCTTTCACCCAAACAGTTCTACCGCACCATAACCCTCCTTATCCCCCCCTTCTCCACTCGAAACATTTTTTTAAGATTACACATCACGTGTTCCCCCAATGACCCTCTAGTTACGATTTATCTGAGCCGAGAACGCATAGGTCGGTATAAGACCCCATCATCCTCCCCCCCCTACACCCTCCCCCCCCTAGGTCTACACCTCAACATCTCCCTCGCCACCCCCCGTTCCCTCTCCTCAATCTCCGCCTCAATCTCCCTCAACCTCTCCGCCACATCCCTCAACCCCCTCTCTCCCTCCTCCTTCTCCCTCTTCTCCTCTTCCACACTCCGCTTCGCCAAATCCAGGGCGCCTTCGAACCATTTCCCCAGTCGTGCGTGGGTCATGTAATTGCGTAAAGTGCTGTCCTCAGAAGAGAGGTCAGAGAGGAGGGGGGCGCGAACGCCGGAGTCGAGGGAGCTGTAGCGCGTGTCGAGGGTGGGGGTGGTGGTGGAGAGGGAGGAGGGGGTGTAGATGCGGAGGCGGGAGGGGGTTTCGAAGAGGCCTGTTTCTTGTTAGCTTTTGCCCTTGTACTCTCATTACTGCACGCAAACTGCGGCGGGGGGAGGGGGAGAAGAAAAGGTAGAAAGGGGAAAAAACTCACGATCCCGAATACACCCCTTCAACGTCCTATACAGCGCCGTCCCCTCCAACCTCCACCTAACCTCCTCATCACTCTTCGCATCCGTATCATTAATCGCCGCCCAATCATCCCTCAACATACACCTCCTCCACACGCCCTGCTCCGCCAACTTCAACTCCTCCCCCTCCGTCGGTCCAGCAGCATTCAGCGCCAAAAGCGCATAATGGAACTCCTCCCCCCCCAACACCCCCCCTCCCTCCCCCCTACTATCCGGACCGAGGAGCGTCAACAGATCCACCACATCCAACGCCCCCATCGCCTTATGCTCAAGCAGCCAGCCTAGCTTCTCATGCAGCACCGTAGCCAACGCCGTTTTCCCGCGGAGAGAAGGGTTATCATAAACCTCGAGCGCAAGCTGTCGCTCAGCTGTATCATCAATCGCCCCCTTCACCGCACCGCGGACATGCTTATGCACAAGTCCCTGAATCCTAATAACCTCCAACTGCGCCTCCGTCTCCCTCATCTCCTCCCCCCCCTCCGCGACCCTCAGTCCACTCGCCGCTTGCCCCGCCAATCTCGCCAGTTTCCCAATGCTGAGCTGCACTTTCTTGCTCCACAGGTCGCGTTCGCGGTGGAGGCCGAGATCGAGGAGTTCGGCTGCGGCGCGGTGGTAGTCCTTCTCCTGCGTGACCTCGTTGATCCACGAGACCTTCGCGTACTCCTTTTTGCTGCGCAGGAAGGCGGTGAGGTATTTTTGGTGCGTGTCGTTGTCGCTGAGCAGCGCGAAGAGCTCGCCTTCTTTGATGTAGTACGAGTACAGCGACTTCGCCCACTCCATGCCGAAGAGGTCGTAGTAACCCTCTACCTGTGCTTGCAGGCGGGCGACGCGGGCTTTGAGATCCGTGGCGTCGCCGTCGGGTGCGGATTCCGTTTCGGCGATGGCTTCGTTGGTGCGTTGGATTTCCTCGACGATGAGGGGGACGAGGGTGTCGAAGACCCTGTGTTTCTCCGCTAATTCGATGCCCTCATCCACGAGCCCAATCTCGGAGAGGTTGTAAATCTGCCCCTCCCGCACCTTGAAGTACGCGTGCTGCATCTGCAAGCCCTGGCTGTGGCGCTTCTTGTCCTCCTGGCCGAGGTACCAGCGGTACTTCTCCGTCGTGGAGCGGCAGGCGAGATCGAGCATCTCGGGGCACTCGGTACGGATCTTGTCGACGACGTCGGGGTCGGGTTGGTTTTCGCCGGCTGCGGGGGGCCAGTATTGTCGCACTATTCCGATGGCGAGATCAGTCTGCCTCTTCGCGTTATCCGCCGTATAGAGCTTGCACGTCCACGGTTCCGGAATGTCGTTGTAGTTTTGCATAAGGATCCCGTTCTGGACATCTTCGCCCTGGAGCCCGTATAGAGCTAGGTTTTCGGTCCGGAAGTTGTAGGCGCCAGCCAAGGCCCCGATGAGGAGATCATTAGCCTCGCTGAGAAGCTCGACGATCTTGTGCTGGACGAGCTCGGACTCTTCGTACCTCAACTTTACAGCCTGGAAGGCCCAGGGAACAACCATCTCGAAGCGATGGATGTCGTGGATAAAGTAGTGGCGAACACGGTCTACCTCCCCAAATTCCTTTGACGGCATTAACTTGTACTCCTCGTGCAGGCACTCGACGATGTCGTTCCATAAGCTGCGCTTTTGGCCGGCGGGTTTGGAGCTGATGAGGGTATCGTAGTTGCTCCATGCACCCTTTGCACCGTTTAGTTTCTCCGCGTCCCATAGGAGCTTCCACTTCGTAAGACGGTCAAGCTCGACATTCATCTTCTTGATGTGCGTCGCGAGACTGTGCAGTGCCTGTGCCCGTACCCGTAGATTATGTTCAATCGACGCCGGGATAGAAGGAATATGCGCTGTCGTAGAACTCAAAACCTCGTGACTAAGCTGTAGGGCGGCCTGGCCAACTTCTTCGGGTGAGAATTGTATTTCTGGCCGTCCGGCGAAACTCAATGGGTTGTTCTCGAGAATGCCAAAGAATACCGCTTGGTCCAGCTTGCTCTTAGCCGTGACTTGTGGCGCCTCCCCTGCCGTAAACTTCTTCGGGTCTGTCGTGGCAATACGGATTATACCACCACCCTTCACCAGGAGAACGACAGCTGGGAATTTGGCCTTGTGGCGCCTCGAACGGCTGTCTTCTGTGCCATGGGAGGGTGTATGTGGCTCCTCCAGCCCAGAGCCGGTAATCTCCACACCGGCGTCGGTCCTGAAGTCTACGACATCCTCGAAATAATTGGTTCCCGCACGGAGTTGTTGATCTGGGGATTCTGGTTCATTGACCATTGATGTCACCACGACGGCGCGGTCAAAGACGACAAATGCTGCAACGCCTGGCTTTGGCAGATATAGTCTCGGCTTGGACGTGGATGTGCGGCTGACTGGAGTTGAATAAGAGCGGAGGTGGTGAACGTTGCTGACAATAATCTCCCTTTGACGAAGGAATACCTGCACAAGGGCGTAGTGGCAAATCCCATGCCCACCAAGAGACGTTAGCATGAGAAGCTCCGTGCCATTGTCGTCGCGGTATGTCAAAGCCGTTGAATCTTCCCTATCGCTGGCTTGTGGTGCGAATGAAAAGTCGAGGACTTCAAAGGACTCAAGGTCCAGGCTCTCAAGACTCTTGTCAGTGCGCTTCAACTCGTCCACAATCAACTCCCTGATATCGCCTTCTGCCTCGAGGGTATTGTGGCCGCCTCGGTGAAGACTCCAAGCTTGTAATCTGCCCTTCGAAGATGCGCTCACAATATCACGCTCTCCAGGCTTCAACGACGGACCAGCTCTAGCAGCTGCCAGGTCTCCACGCCAAGAGGAGCTGCTGAGGGCGTTCCTAATGCTTCCAAATATCCCTCCATTGCCTGCTCCGCTCGTGCCGCGCAAGAACTGGACAGATATCGCTGGTCTCCCCTGGCCGTCCCGTACGCTCATATACGCCAACCTTCCGCTGCTGAAAGATAGCAAAAAGCCAGCCGACTCGGCATTCAGGATCTGGATCACAACCTCCCCATGCAGCAGGCCCGAAATCGTTAGCTCGACGCCATGTCGCGGTTGCTGAATGAGGTCCAGGGTGGCTGCGCTCGCGATCGACTCCCAGTATGTGATCTTGCCGCTTGAGGGCATCACCACGACGAGGCCAGGTTCGGGAGTGCTTGCTGAGGCAGAGACTAAGGATCCGAGGGGGAGATGCTCAGATGTGTGTTTCGCTGGGTAGGGTAGGGCGAAGGTAAAGGTCTCTGGGGTCGTGGTGTTGAGAGCGTAGGGCCAGACAATGGCATGGGTGGTTGTGAGAGCGAGGGCATAGCCACTGTCGGAGTATATCGCGCCATACTGTCTACCTGTACATCGAAGGGTCAGTTCATCCTTTATTCAATCCCTAAGATATCCATACCTGTAGTCGTGGATTGTAGGCGATCTGGTAGAGCAGGAAGCCTGCTGACAGTGTAAACATCATTGCTTGTCTGTGACCCCGTTAGCATCCAACTCAGAGCTGTCAATCCAATTAAATCATTTACCAAAACCGTGCTTCCATCTCCCTTGCCAGTTCTTTCGGTAGTCTTGGGCTTCTTGCCTCTAACCGTGAGATCGCGTCTTATTGTTCCCTGAGGTTCTGCGATGCTCTCGTGCCGGGCGACCCCCGGTGCTGGCTTCTTCGCCTTGACCTCCTGCATCTCAGGGGCAGCATCGGGGACAACAAAGGTATTCTCATGTAAGCTGCTGCGTTGCCGTTTGGCTTTGGGTTGTAGCGCAATATTCTCTGAAGATGTTGGGCGCGGCCTGCGCCTGGCGTTGCGAGTATTCGCAGCTGGAGTGCTGTTGGTCGTCGCTGGTGAAAACATGACAAGTTTGGCCCTTTTTGAGGGTCTTGAAGTTGTTCGACTAGTGCTATTGATAGCTAGAGGATGAGGGGATTAGAGATTTCGCATTGTTTGTGTCGAGATGTCGGTGGTTGGTTCTGGTGTTTACATTGGTTTACATTGGTTTGTGTCTGGAGCTCACAACGGAGTAATATTTCTCGTAGCCAAGCGAAACAACGCAACAAAAGTATCATCTACAACAGGCATAGCCCAATGATCCTGAACATAATAAATCGTTATCGGATATATAATTACTCTGCCATAATCAATACGATAGTATATTCTGAAATTGTTTATTTGGCATCAATTCGGATTCATTCTCCTCTTCAGTTCTGCCTCTCCATCGCTTGTTTCCCCAAATCGTCGTCATCGTGTTACAGACCAGACAAACACACAAAACGGAGCCTCAACAACGACGCATGGACCCTCTCATAACAAAATCATACTGGACGACCTAACACTAACCCTTTTTAGCGCCAGGCACAACCTCTTGATATATGTAATTTCCGACTACAAACAATTATTTAAATATGATGAACGGAATTAATGAACCTAAATAGTTAAAAGACAGTAAAGCCCACATCCACATCAGCGTTCCAAGTACCATATTCGTGCCGTGGGATTATTAATGTCCATGGAGAGCCAGAATTATATAGACACTTCTAAGTAGATTAAACATGCAATACAATGGGAGTTGAAGTTTGAAGATATGCGGTAGTGACACCAAGAAAGATAATATTTATTTATTCCTTTTGGTTGGAAACATATACCATTAGCTTCCGAAGCAACGCTATCTATCGCATCCAGCAATCCAACTATTTGCCTACTGTAGCCCTTTGTTTTTGGAGTTGAGACTCGTAGCCATAAATACAGTTCGCAGACATGACCCATCATATACCCTATATACCTCCCACACAGATACCCCCCCAAACGCCTTCGCCAAAACTTTCATCAAATCAACAAACCACGCCAGACAGACTCTAGTGTGGATCTAAGACTCCAGCCAGTCTAAGAAGCGTGGAGTGAAGTACGACACAACAATCGTAGCACCAGCCCTCAAAATGCCCTCCGTAGACTCAAAAGCCATAGCCTTCAAATCAAAGACACCTGCCTTGGCAGCTGCATGGATCATGGCGTATTCGCCGCTGACCTGATACGCCGCGACTGGCATATCCTTCCCGATCTCCTTAGCATCGCTGATGATATCAAGGTACTGTCCAGCAGGCTTGACCATAATAATGTCCGCCCCCTCAGCAATATCTCTGTGCATCGCGCGGCGCGCCAACCCACGTCCTCCGTGGGGGAGTTGGTAGCACTTCCTGTCTCCGAACGACGGGACGGATCCAGCTGCGTCGCGGAAGGGTCCGTATAAGCAGCCGGAGAACTTGGCAGCGTAGGACATCAAGACGACTCTGTGGGCGATACCCTCTTCGATGAGCTTGAGCTTGATAGCGCGGATACGGCCATCGTTCATGTCTGACGGAGCGACGCAGTGGGCGCCGGCCTGGGCATATGCGACAGCGACATCGGAGATACGATCAACGGACAACTGATTGTTCAAGCTGCCGTCATCGCGGAGGATGCCGCAGTGACCGTGGGATGTGTATTCGCACAGGCAGACGTCGACGGTGATAAAGAGTTGGGGGAAGCGCTGGCGGAGAAGACGGATGGCGGCCATGACGGGGCCTTTTGGGTCGTCGGCGGAGGTGCCGAGGGCGTCTTTGGAGCCGGGGGCGAGGGGACGCCGAAGAGGATCACGGATTTGAGGCCCTTGCGGATGAGGGGTTCGAGGTGGGGACGAGTTTGTTGATGCCGCGGCGGTGTTGGTCGGGGAGGGAGGGGATGATGGATTCTTCGTCGTCCTGGTCAGATACGAAGAGGGGTATATGAGCATTGACTGGAGGGGGTGTTGTTAGCAATTGAAGTCAGCATTGGGTGAGTGAATGGTCGTGTGCGAACCTTTGTCAATTGTCTCTCGGCTTGCCACGAGCGGGCAAGGGGTGAGAGTATCCGCCGTGCAATTGACTCGAGATGTCTCCGGAGATGCTGACGCTGGTTGCGCAGGTGCTGGCGTATGACATCGCCCTGGAGACGTGCGATCTCCGATCATCAATGGTAGAAGAGGTTGAGGAGGGGACCGCGGGCGAGGGCGTCTATCATCATTGGCGTCCCTGAACGACAGATCTTGAACGAGGCTGGAGAACGACATGGTGATAGTGCGAATTCGACGAGCGAGTGCAACAGTGAAGGTATCAGGAAAGAACTTTGCAAAGACTCCGGAAAGCGTGGGGTTTAGAAAGAAGTCAGCGAACATGCATGGGGTGATGGCGAAAAAATGTCGTCGGTGACAGCCGCACTCATGGGGTTACAGACGGACGGCGAGTGCGGCATGAAGTTGCCGGGCTGGCACGCTTGTTTTGGAATTCACCACATTTTAATTGGCCGAGGTTTCCGAAAGTCCAAACATTTTTCATACCGTAATCGTCAGATCCGCCTGGTCGCTTCGCTCCCAGTCGGAATAAGCAAGTTGGGACAGTATTACTATATTTAAAGTGGTCGCTAAACCTACCACTTTAAATATAGTAATACTGTATAACGTAAGTCGTGGCGTAACGGTGGCATGGCGTAACGCGGTGGAATTTCGAAGAGAACATAACAAATCTATAAATTTAACTACAATCAACGATAATACATGATCCACCGTCGCTCTCAGATTGTTCCCCTGCTTCTTCCTCAATATACTCGTCAATTTAAATGTCTGAGGAGGCGTGCTTATCCTTTGTTTTGCGCTTTTTCTTACTTGGTTATGTGTCGCCTTTTCCGCCTACACAATTCTTGCGTAGAAACATGAAAGTGGCCCTTCAGAATAACCCTTTTCCCCTCCATACGTACCGTACCGTACGTCGCTTTATAACTGATCCAGGTTGTTGGCATAGAGTTGTGGACAATGCTAGGTGCTAGAAGTTGCTCTGACGCAACTGTGAGTTTTTGGATGTACGTCCGCACCGGTGTTGACAGCACCCCACCACCATTAATCGTCGTGTAAGGAGCGCATTTGCAGAGCATAAGGTCATCCCATCTGGGGTGGAGCTGTTGATAAAGACTCGGGTCAAAAATATCATACTGATGTGGTGTTTTGGTCGAGCAGCGTACGCAATGCTCGCTGGGGATTAAAAGGAAGCAAGCCAGCGCCACAGTATGCTGACTCAATGTTCTGATGGTTTCATATATCAAGCCGTGCCTGGATGTATGCCTCCATCCATTCATACTTCTGTATGCACGCAAGTTGCGCTTGGTTGAGTTGTAATGGTGGGTGCACCAGATGTGAGAATCTAGCCACCCAAGGAAGGGATGAATTTACTAAGACAACACACTGTCTTAGGTAACAGAGCCAAAGGGTTGTAGCTTAGACTATTCCACAACGTAGCAATCAGGTGTGTGATGTAGTGAAGTGGTTCAGACAAGTTGCAACAAATGTTGAGTCTGGGAACTCAGGGTAAGTCAGAGGTTAACACCTCACTGACTTTTCAGAAACAAGGAGTAACAAGATGAATGCTTGGAAGCTTGGAAAAGACGTGGAAGTATGTGATAGTCGATTTACTGTATTGTCTGCTTGCCCTTTCTTAAGGAAAGGGCAATCCTATTTATGCTAAAGGAGTGTAGTTCTCTCATTTTCAAGACTTTCCATGACTTACCAGGCTTGGTAACTGTAGTCGATGTAAGAGAATCCCATAGAACCATCTATTAGGTTCGTAGCCTATAGGAAGTAAAAGGAGGTCCAAGGTCAGAGTACCCCTATAGACAAATTATGTCATAGACAAATTATGTCATAACTTAACCAATCTTGTGGGTAACTAAAGAGCGATGACATGTAATGAATCATAGAGGTTCGTAGGAGCTTTTAGAGCTATCGTTCATGCTCCTAGGCCTCTAGTTGGTAGAGATATGTCATGTGGTAGTATGAGTGATGTCATGTAATGAATCATAGAGGGTTGTAGAGATATGCTATGTGGTAATATCGGCCCAGTAACTAAGGAGCAATGACGTGTAATGAATCATAGATGGTTGTAGCAATCGTTGAGTAGTATTGCTCTTGTTGTTGGTGTGATAAGCCAAAATATGTATAGTGACTTGTAGGTTTGTGTCATACTGACATTCGTTGCACTCAGTTTGCTATCAAACTCAAGAGCAAACTTGGAAATCTCCTCCTCAAACCTACAAGTCACTATACATATTTTGGCTTATCACACCAACAACAAGAGCAATACTACTCAACGATTGCTACAACCATCTATGATTCATTACACGTCATTGCTCCTTAGTTACTGGGCCGATATGACCACATAGCATATCTCTACAACCCTCTATGATTCATTACATGCCATCACTCCTTAGTTACTGGGCTAATACTACACATGACATACCTCTATCAACTAGAGGCCTAGGAACATGAACGATAGCTCCAAAAGCTTCTACAACCCTCTATGATTCATTACACGTCATCGCTCCTTAGTTACCCACAATATTGGTTAAGTTATGACATAATTTGTCTATAGGGGTACTCTGACCTTAGACCTCCTTTCACTTCCTATAGGCTAGGAACCTAGGAGATGGTTCTATGGGATTCTGGTTAGTCATGGAAAGTCTTGGAAAATGAGAGAACTACACTCCTTTAGCATAAATAGGATTGCCCTTTCCTTAAGAAAGGGCAAGCAGACAATACAGTAAATCGACTATCACATACTTCCACGTCTTTTCCAAGCTTCCAAGCATTCATCTTGTTACTCCTTGTTTCTGAAAAGTCAGTGAGGTGTTAACCTCTGACTTACCCCTGAGTTCCCAGACTCAACATTTGTTGCAACTTGTCTGAACCACTTCACTACATCACACACCTGATTGCTACGTTGTGGAATAGTCTAAGCTACAACCCTTTGGCTCTGTTACTAAGACAGTGTGTTGTCTTAGTAAATTCATCCTTCCTTGGGTGGCTAGATTCTCACATCTGGTGCACCCACCATTACAACTCAACCAAGCGCAACTTGGTGCATACAGAAGTATAATGGATGGAGGCATACATCCAGGCACGGCTTGATATATGAAAC